CCTCAGAACAGTACATGACAAAGCATACATTATAATAAAAATGTGCCACTGTTTTCAGACTTCATATATCTACTACAACTGTGGAATAACCCAAGCGATATTCCCCAATTCATTCAAGAGTTTGTGTTAGCATTTCGACAAGAATTGAGATGACCAAAAGTTAATGAATCACTGCTGAAATGCAGATATAAAAATTAGGCTGAAAATGGTGATATGACTTCAGATCACAGAAAGGATCATAACCTTGAATTATCTGATACTCTGTTTTACCAAGCAGGAATGATAGCACTGCTTTTTAAATGTATGTCTGATAAATGACTGGAAGTTAAACTGACTTTAACAAAAATTAAATGCTAACTTTATCAAAGTATTGACACTTTATTTCTGAAATGACAGTAACAGACTTCTGCTGTAACATTTATAAATATTACGTCATCAATTCTAAAATAATGATGCCATTTGCTCTGTCAAAACATATTCAAAATGTATCTATATTTCTAATTATATAGTTATTTATTTTAAAACCGAACTACTTTACAATAGATTTTGAATGAACATTTATTCTAATCTGCATCCTTTTTTTCAAAGCCATTTGAGAACAAAGTAAGTCAATTTTATGGTTCCTAACAGCACAAAAAAGGTCTGTTTACAGCACAGTTTTGAACTGGAAGCAAAAACGAAACATTTCTGAATGCTTTCAGCAAATAAATAAGCATTACAGGAGCAATATATGTGTACCATTTAAATTACCTTGAGGGAAAATGTGAGGAGAGACAAGCCTTATCTTTTGGTTTAATTACATAACTCTTAAGATCCCCCAAACTCAAAGCCAAGGAATATAAGCTTACAGATTTCATTAATTTGCTACTTTTTAATGGTTATTGTCATTAATTTATCTGGTTAATTCTTTTATCCGAAGCAAAACATGACTGAAAGTAAACCCATGCCCTAGGGGCTCCTAATGCAGTTTGTCTGTATGAATATGTATAGTGCATGAGAAAATTATAAAAAGCATGCTGTGTGTAATTTAATCAGTTACAGTCTTTTCAAATGAAACTGCTAATTGCTGTGCTGGGAGTTAGCTATGGTTTGCTTTGCCATCACATTATCATGGCACAGTGTGGTTGCTTTTTGCACGCAGCTTTTCAGATATCATTACCAAAAACTACGCTACTCCTATCAATATCATGATACACATTTTATTTTTAAACAGCATCAGAGAAATATAATAATTACATGGTATAACAAAACACACAGCAAGAAGGAGACCTTAAAAGTTGATTTACAGTTGTATCACGCATTTTCAGGCCTAATTAAAAATGCTCATTAAATTGTCAATTAAAAAAAAATATGGTAAAGAGTTCATTTGGTGAATATGATTTTATGCAACCTTCAAAATACCTTCTTATGAAGCTACATGAGACATTACAATAACATTCAGAATTCTTTGTAACCATTCTTCCAAAAGACACAACTGACACATGCATTTTAATAACGACCTAATCCTAACCTACCTGCAAACCTAACTCCAACCATCACTCAAGTCCTAACCCTAATCCTATCCCTACCAACAGCTCTATACCTAAAACATACTACAACATAAAGTTTGACCAATGTTTGAACACTTGTGTATCCATTATGTTTTTCTAAACAAAAGTCATAAAGCATTATGAATATGGTTCTAGTATCTTATGTAGCCTATAAGAAGATGTTATGAAAGCATTATACAAGTTTAATTCAAAGGAAACATTAATGAAATAATTACATTATTAAAAAACCTATTAAGGATGTCATGGTGGCCCACAGGTTAGCACTGCTCCCTTGAAGCACTGGGGCCCTGGGTTGAATGCCTTGAGTTGCATCTGCATGGGGTTTGGACGTTCTCCTTCTGTTGGCTTGGTTTTCCATTTGGCTGCTCCCACAGTTCAAAGACATACAGTATTGGTAGGTTAATTGACTTCTGGAAAAACTAGCCCTGGTGTGAATGTGTGCCTGTTTGTGTCTATGTGATAGCTTGGCATTCTGTACAGAGTGTATTCTGTCTCATGCCCATTACTTGCCAGGATAGGCTTCAGCTCCCCTGTGACCCTGTATTGGATAAAGTGGTTAGAAAATGGGTGGATGGATAAACCTATTATTCGCTGCAAGACTGTATTGATTTTAATAGCAGCTCACAAAGGATTTTTTGGGTAATAAAGATAATGTGTTTCAGATGCTTGAAACATAATATCACATTTCTTTTTTGATAAAGTGAAACTTTAACTTCTAAGAATACTGGAAAACACCCTACCTTAAATGGTAGACCGATATTGCTCATGTACATAGCTTTGCTAAAAAACCTCAGTTGAATTAAGGCAGTTGTCTTTGTTTTAGTCTACAGACTTGATACGGTGGTAGAAAATCTGTTTAAGTGACAGGGAAAAGTATGATAAAAAATGATGCAATCTGTGGTTACAGAGCTGAAGTGCATTTCTCAGGGAAATTGATAATTTTATGCCTGGGATCCAATATTCCTGTCAGTTATATTTAAATGTCTCTTGCATTTAGAAGACAAAATACACAAACTATAGCCACAGGAGTATGGTAAATGTATTTTTCTACCTTTGGTAAAACCTTTTTATTACTTAATTTATTATTTAATACAAGATATTATAAGGTAAAACCTTGTAATACCTTTGGATGATTTGAAATGACTGTCAAGATTTGATTAACAGATAGTTTTTGTATAAAGTCAAATTCTTCCTTCTCTCCTTTTCAAAGCTTGAATTACAGAGAAGTAAAAACTGACAGACTGACACAACAAAAGGCACCTTGTAAAAAATGGTGACATTTAATGATATTCATTGCAATGCTGCAAATGCTTACTTACCTTAAACCCTCTAGCAGTAATGTGGTGGATTCATTCTGCAGTCAATTAAATAAAACAAATTTAATTTATATATTATATAGTGATCCATGTCTCAGATCAGAGATGTTATGTGATATTATTATAAAGAATGGAAGCAGTACGTTACCTTGCACATGACCGTTAGCAAAGAAACATAAATTACTAATGTTAAGTATTATTACTTTACATGTCATTTGTGTGCTTGACTTCATCTTTATTAGCAGCAGTCTTTTTTCTCCCACTCAGAACAGTTCTCTGAAAACATGAAAACTTTAAACAAGCCTGCATCAGTCTTTGAGGTATAGACAGAATTTTCAAACTAATCAAAACCCCCTCCAAATGAAAAAATAAATCTTTTAAAAAATCCCTAAATGAAATGTAATAGAAGATATGAGAAAATAACAGGGAGCTACTCTGTATAGTACCAAACAACCCAATACACTTGCTAGCTGCAGGCCATTAAGAGGCTGAGATCAGAATCAGTTCACTCAGATAGTTAGAGGATCTTCCTTCCAGTGACTTCTGTACACCTCCAAAAACCTAATAGACAGCAGGCAATTTTTAGGATTTATTTATTACCTCCACCTCTTCTCCACACAGATACCAATTTAAAATGTGTTCACATAGTTTCAGCAGTAGCAACGCTCAACACTTCAATTACATTCAGTGTTATATTACAGGCTCTGTTCTCAGCATTGAGCCAAGCTTGATCTCCATTACAGCAAACGTTATTTATCTTTGGCCCACTGAGGTAATACCAAAACACTTCAGTATATTGGCACCCCGCAGTAGATAATTAGTTTTCCTGGTAATTTATGGTTGGGTTCAAAATATTAAAAGGTTTAGAAACTGGTTACAGCACAATCACAATTTTATTTAAAATAAGATATCATTCGATATATGATTTTACATAAACATTTTTGTCACATTTATTACACATTAATTTCTTCCTCAAATAATACCTTTTCCAAATTAAACAAAAAAGCATGGATTCCTCGATGCTTTGTCAAAATATAAATTACGTCATGGTGTTGGATTAAGAGAACTGATCAATGCTAACCATCTCACCACTATAATATTGTAGCAATAATTAAAATGTAAACATCTGACAGAATCATACATCTTTTTCGTGCTGCTTTTGTACTCTTAATATTAAGAGTTAAATATCGGCAGTATGTTGTTTTTGCTTTTAATTCTGATTTTTTGAGAAGTAGTGGAGTGAAGCGCCCCTTAGTGTTCAGTCTATAGTGTGGTTTATAAAACAGACCTAATCACTAAAGTATTGTAGAGATTAATATTATCCAAAGTAAACTGCAAAAAACAGTTTTAGATATTAGAATAAATTAAACGTATTCACTCACAATCGCGCAGTGCTCATGAGGCATAGAAACGTCGTTTTAATCTTAACTTGAGGCATGACCGTTTTCAAAATTCAACGTTCCGAAAAACACCTTTATTTAAACCAAAGGTTAATTACCCAAGATGTATGTTTATTTCAAACTACTGTACAAGTGATCTGAATTTGCAGTAAGGCTTCAAGACGCTTAATTGGGAAACCGTGTTACGTTTTACTTGGTATACATTATTCCCATCCTTAGAGAACCGACGGGGTGTCTGTGGTTTGTACAACAGCACCACCATGATATGAATATTCGGTAGTGCCGCTTTTGCATAGTTCCAGAACTTCGATAACTAGGAAGCAACACATGATCGTAGACATCATAGTAAAAATAAACACTATTCAGGTTATAAAAATTTACCACGACGTTTGCAAGGCATTTTCAAAAAAGAACTGCCAAAAAGGGTATGAATTTAAAATATAAATTAATTTTACTGTGGAGGAAAAACACCGTACAAATACAATGCATTATGATTTGAATGGTAGAATACTCTCCAAATATATGTTCAAAATAAACTAGCCTTTAAACCTTATACGTCACCTGTTAATATTTTCATGCGCATCATTCAGAGGAAACTGTAACATATTGTTTTCCATTTTGGCTCACCAGCTGTATTCATAACTGAGGCGACCGCCTTTGTTAGAAGAGCCGCAATGGCGTAAATTTCCAAGATTGCCTTTGAACTATAATTGGTCAGAACCGCTGTCAATCACGACTCTTATTTGTTGGGGGGCAGGGAAATGCGGTAATTTGTTGGCTGGTTGTCCATCTGAAGTTCAGTAGTATATGCGTAGGGAGAGCTATATGGGATTGTTTTAAAATATTTCTTTCCCAAAATGTCACAATTCGATTCAGGGCTGCTTAGTGTCAGAGGCCAGAGATCTACTGGAGCATGGGTGCGGACACAAAATGGTAGATATACTTTAATGCGAAATACTGAATGCATGTTATTGCAAATACTGTTCCATGTCCTTTGCGTGGTTTTGGAAATTCTCAAATGACATTTAGAGTTATATGCTCCGTGGTGCATCTAGTGATGTATTTTATACATATTTTAGGATACTACTCAAATTGAGGTGCGTACGTCTGTGGTATTTAAAATGTGCAGGTGAAGAGTGAAAATAGAACAGAAGATTATCATTGCATATAAATTGCCTTTTGTACATATCACAAAATAAATTTTGAGTTATTAATTGATCAGAAACTGGAGCATGAAAATCCGCAGTATATGGGTTGTAGTGTCATGTGACCAGAAAAGGTTCTTCGCAGCAACTTTTTTGGTACCCTCTGAGAGTAGAAATTATGTCGGCTGGTTTCTGGCTGAAGTGTATAACAAAAATAATACAGTTGAAATAATTTAATATTGGCATCTGTTGATCCGTCACGTTATTGTTTATAGCCGCAGCTAAAGAGGCCGCCCTTGGTTATGTTTACGAACAGCTGTTTGCTGGGGTGTCTGTGTGGCGTCATACAGAAGTCTTAGTAGAATCTGCGCAAACATTGAATTATTGCCCTTTATTTTTCCTCCGAGTTCAATATTTTGATATTATACAGTCATGCGCTATGATATCTGTTGCATATACAACCAGAGAATGTTTTACTTTTTTGTAAGAAACGTGCTTAACCTTTTAGTGGATAAAACGTTGCATAATTCGAGTTTTTTAACAAGTATTTTCTCTTAACGTAGTTATGGCTGCAGCATCTATAGCCAACATTGTGAAGAGTTCCTTGGGACCAGTTGGTCTTGACAAGATGTTAGTTGATGACATTGGAGTAAGTCTGGATTAAAGTCTTTTACACATGCCTATTCATAATGTCACTAAAGTAATTTTCAAGAATGTTAGCTAATTTTATTTTATTTATGTTTTAACATAAATAACGGTTAATTTGCCTATTGGAATTTTCAGGAAATCAACACGAATTCTCCAACAAATTATTAGCTATAGTCCCTGAACATTTAAAAGCTTGTACTATCGACTCTTTTTTCCAACCTTGATCACAGCAAACAAAACAAAAAAACACAAAGTGACTAAATTTTCCAGGACTAGCTTTTGCCTATTTTATCACTTGATTTATTAACATTTGTGTTGACATAATAATATTTGCTACCTGTTTTAAAACTTTCTTTTCACTTTTGTTTACCTATATATTATTATATATAAGATGGAAATTTTGTTCGTAACGCTTTTTAATGTTAAACAAGGCTTTTGAATTGGGCATTTATACTTTGTGAAATGTGAAATTTTTGGTTCCAATTCAAGGATATAACGATTACAAATGACGGGGCCACAATCCTGAAGATGATTGAAGTTGAACATCCTGCTGCCAAGGTTCTGTGCGAACTGGCCCAATTACAAGACAAGGAGGTTGGGGATGGAACAACTTCAGTTGTAGGTGGTCTTTCATCTTATATGCTGATTTGTAATTTTGTTAATTTTTTTTACCTTGTACCTATTTGGTTTGTAGTTCCTAGTTGTTTTAACACATGGCTGTCCAGCAGAGATTCCTGCATCTGTAAGTATTCCTGGTGCTGACCAACTGCCTAACAATCCTAAGCAGCCATCCAGTAAATCTTGTGGACACTTAACCAAACATTTGCTTCTTATGTGAAGTGTAGCAGGCAGCAAAGGGTTGGTTTCAGACGTTTGGCCCTTTTCTCCTATATCAGATTCGATATGTTACTGTTATGGTAAGACCTGTTGTCTGAAAACGTTTAGTAAACGTTACCACCGTCATATTAATAGATATACCTTTTGCTATATATAAATAAATTGATCTCTATGGGAGGTGTTATTAGCTTAAATGGTGACTCATGCTTGCAATATAGATTTTTGTACTGGGTTCCACTGCAGTTATCTAACATTAAGAGAAATCATTCTAAATTAGTGTATTTTTAGAGCTTATACTTTGTTTTTTTCAGGTAATACTGGCAGCTGAGCTACTGAAGAACGCAGAAGAGCTAGTTTCTCAGAAAATCCACCCTACCAGTGTCATCAGCGGTTATCGCTTGGCTTGCAAGTAAGAATCTAGATTTAAACAAAATGCTAAAAAGGCCTTGACAAAATATTGGTTAGCTTATTTATGGACCTGGTTAGGCATATGTTTGTCTATTTTTAATTCTTTCAAAACCAATAACTGCATTGCGTTTAAAATGATCATACAAAAATACTGTGTACAAAACAAATTGGACCAAGTTTATAAAATATTTAATAACATGCAACCTTTTATACCTGTTTTTCCCAATACAAAAAATAATAAAGTATTGAAAAAGAATTTAGTTTCTTACTTTCATACAATTTTTCTTCCTTTTTTAAAGAAGGTGCAAATTTGGTGTGCAACAAATTGACATGCAGTTGGCATAACTGACGCTTATTTATATAAAAGGCTGTGGAAATCTGGAAGAAACTACCCAGCTATAATCAGTCAAGAAGGGTTTGGACAAACCGTTTGGATTAATTACTTAACAGAAACAAAGTGAACAAGTTGGGTTTATGGCCTCTTTTTGTTTGTATCATTTACTATGTTATTTTGCTCATAGCAAGAGTCAGGCACGTCTTGAAACAGGTAGCATTAATGTAAGTTGACTTATGATGAATGCAGCACAGAAGCTGATCTTTTAATACAAAACTGAAGGTACTGTGCATTTATTTTTCAAGGTTTAATGCATTTATTTACTCTCATCAAATTTGGTATTTGGTTTTTAGTAGCTGAATGTCAGATTTTATTTTCCTTTTTTTGTTCCTAACTCAGTAGGGCTGGAGTATTATTTTCGTTGTTGTTGTTGTTGGACACTCGGACACTTTTCTTAACTTTTCCTGATGTTGTGTCACATAGTGTGTAGTATAGATAACATGTATATGTTCATATTTAAGTGGTTACAGCTATCACTATTGAACATTTCATACAACTGCCTGCATTCTTATCCTACTAGGGTCCCTAGTTTGATAGACCAACAGCTCTGAAACCAATACAAAATATTACATTATTACATTCCAGAACAGTATTACATCATAGATTGAATGAGATACAATTGACATTTTTCTTCTGCTCTCCTTGGAATTGTTTTCTCATTGTTTTTTGATGCGAAGCTCGAAAGCTTTTGGTTTTTATTCAGGCCCCAGGTGGTAAGACAGATTGGTCTCACCCCTTTATTTTGTATTCACAGAGAGAAATCATTGATGTGTAAAGCTCTTGCAGTTATTTATATGTAGTAGGATTCTGTGGTCTCCTGATCAACAGAATGAACAGGACTGTGTCTGAAGCATTAAGACTTTCTAATTAGAATTCTGTAAGATGTCTGGGGCTGTCAGAGTTAAGGTAGTGTTATGAATCATCACCACAATTGAACATTCATTCATCAAGTGGCACTGCAGTATAAAATAGAGCATTGTCTGAAAAGCACCAGGCATGTTGGTCAGAATATAAGATTTCTTTATCGGTCCTAGGAGAGTAAATTGAAAACATCCCAACCATGATCAGCACCTCATTATTCCTAGAGTACTTCTTGACTGACTGAAAAAAAAACTTTTCAACTTCACATTATTGTCTCAGTGCAGAACAATAAGGTAGAAAAAAGTTTGATTAAGAAACGGACTGAACCCAGTGCATTACAGGTGCCTGCTACTTGAGTTCAACTCGGATTGTTGTGGCCCTAAATGTTGCATAGTGTGAAATAAAGTTGACGGACTCTTGCTTAATTTGAAAGTGATGTAATTACAGCATGGGCCAAAAGAAAGTGTTTTGTTATGTCATTTTCTTTCAGAGCTATGGACAAAACAAAATTCAACAGATCTGCAAGGTGTTTTGTATTTTAAAATAAAACCGACTGAAATGTAGTTGGTTTTCTTTCGTTTATGAACTCTGTAGCATTTGATAAGTAAGATGAGATACTTTTTCATTATTGTGCTGGGGCACAAGTGGATCCTATTGATAAGGCAGATATAGTCACTGAGATGATGAGAGGATTACAGATAAATCACTAAAGCCAGCTAGTTGGTATCCTAGCCAAATCATTAAATGCGACTTTAAGACTGTACACAGTGATAATAACATACAATTAAGGTGATTTGCTTTCTGTCTGACCTGCGATGAGTAATTCATTGTTTAGCTGTTTTATAACAGTGTCTTTGGACAATCTCAACGGTACATATCTGGTCTGAATCAAAGCATTAATCCTTGTGGGTTCTATTAGTCGCTGATCTTTTTTTCTTTTTTAGAGAAGCTGTCAGATTTATCAACGAAAACCTGACGATCAATACAGATGAGCTGGGACGAGAATGTCTGGTGAATGCAGCCAAGTCATCAATTTCTTCAAAAATTATTGGAAAATATCCTTTGAAACTGTAATACATAAACTTGTTACACAAAACAGTGAAGCACAGTTCTTTTGGTTTAGTTGCGATCTCAATACATAAGATCAAATTCAATTATTAATTTGTTGTTTCACAAGATAAAATCATTCCCCTGGCACAGTTTTTTGCTTAATGATTTAACACATGTGTAATTTACTACATATTGCTCAGTGAAATACCTATAGCCCACTTCCAGACACTGAAGAGAAAATGTAGACAAATTAATGTAGGAAACATTGCAATCAAGCAGGACCAATTCAGCCTGTCTAGTTTGTTTGTTTGCTTGTTGCTGATCTATCCAATAATTTCACCTACCCATTTCTTGAATGAAGCCAGGGTATCATTTTTTACAGTAAAGCTTGGAAGCTTATTCCAGACTTCCCCATCCATGTCCTACTGAAATATGTATCTGTTAATCAGTCAGAATTGTATGCCAACAAGATATTTCTTCCCCAAAATCTACAATGTAAAGCCAAGTCTCTTTATATTTTATAGCAGTAAAGCACTGATTTGAAAAGTACTGTACATTGGAAAAAATTGTTCTCGCAATTTTTAGATCAGTAACTTCAACTCTGAAATAACATTCTGCTTGAAGTACATCAGAAGTATGTTTTCTTCAAAGAAGCTCCCTCAATTTATTTTTAACGTCTTTGTGTTTTATGTAACTTATAGATATTACCTTTTATATATTCTGTTTATTTTGCATCTTACTGTATCTTACTACAGCTGGTCCTGTGAAAGATGAGTTTCCTTGGATAGACTACCTGCCACCATGACCCTGAATTGGATAAACAGTTATTAAAATTGAAGTGATTTTTGTACAACAACTGGGTTTGCTGGATACCTTGGTCTAGGGTACAGCAGTGGCGTGCCTTCTAAGCCTTAACTAATACTGCACGTTACCACCCTAATTCAGAAATGAGTGATAATGGCTGTTCTTTCATTTACTTGGACACAGTGATGTAGATTTCATGCAGACAAAACTAGTAGAATTTTCCAATGTTATATCCACAACAAAAAATACTTTTTAAAAGTTTTGTTATTCTTTATGGATTTTGCCATTTTGAAAAGCACACTGTTTATTCCAGCGTTTTCCTTGACTACAGTTTTCACTGATGCTGATTTCTTTGCCAATATGGTAGTGGATGCAGTCATGGCTGTGAAATTTGCCGATGGTAAAGGCCAATATCACTACCCCATTAATTCAGTTAATGTGCTTAAAGCCCACGGTCAAAGCCAGAGGGAGAGCATGCTGGTCAATGGCTATGCCATTAACTGCACTGTGGCTTCACAAGGTATTATAATTTAATATTTTTAAAAATGTTTCCTAAGGACTTTTTTGTTTTACCTTGAGCATTTGTTTGTGCTTAATATGTGTTTTTAATGTTCTTATTAAAATGTTGGTCTGTTTTATTTAATTCACTAAAAGGGCCATAAAAGGGCTGTGAAATTTAGCTTTTGATATCAGTAACCCTTTAAATATATACGAAGAGGCCAACTTTTTATCATCTGGTGCTACGTGTTTTTTTCCTACTTAAGCAGTTTTAAGAATGTATTAATGTACAACTCTGCAAGTTAAATATCACATTTGTGAAACATATTATTTCTAAACTTGTCTATTTCATGTACGTGGTACAGGAGTCAGATAAAGTATTATATGCTTTAAAGGGCCAGGTGGGTAGCAGATGGAATCTAGTGTTTCATGATTATATTGGGAATTAGTTTGCCTGGGAGGTCATACAAGTTTTCTTAAAGAAGGCTGAAAAAAACTCTGGATATGTTCCACATCTTATACTCATAAAGTGTGGTGTTTGATGTGTACTTTTGAAGTACTTTAGTTTTAAGGTTTATTTTTTATGTATTAAATGGATATTAGCTAATTTATGTCAGGCTCTTGATTGTTTTTTTTTCTCGCAATAATATTGCTTCAAAATGCAGGAGTATTTTTGAAAATACAAATTCAGTTTCAAAATTTATCTTAACATTACTGTGTTATAAAATATTGGAAAATATGTTGTGTTTGTATATTCTGTTCACTTTTCTTATCTATCCTTATGTATCAAATTGAAAAGCTTGAGGCTACACATGGCCTGTAAAAGGTCAGCCCTCTTAAAGAATGAGTATCTCAGACATTCTTGATGATTACCCAATCTGAAGTGACAAAATCCTTGAAATATTGCCGGGGGTAGCACACTGTGCCAGCAATTAAGCAGTGTGTTGTTAAATGCATCCAAATTCTACTTATTTCATTTTGTTTGTGTGGAGCTCTTTCAGTTTGAGCTAGACTTATTGTCATTGTATTAATTAATTTTAACCTTACTCTGCATGATTGTTTTATACTTAATATAGTTTTTTGTTGTACATTATTCCCTATCCAACTCTCCCAGATATAGATATCTTCTAAGCAAATGAATAACTTTATTAAGTAAGATGTAATAACTGTCCTTAGTTTAATTGTGGATTTACTATTCCCTAAACTCAAGTAGAGTCACTAAAATTTGATGAAGTACAGTAATCTGGATGACATCCACAGCAGATTGTCACCAAAAAAAACGTAAAATCATTTTTTTTTCCCAAAGCAATGCCGAAGAAAATTACTGGTGCAAAGATCGCATGTCTGGACTTCAGTCTGCAGAAAACCAAGATGAAACTGGGAGTACATGTTGTCATTTCTGACCCAGAGAAGCTTCAGCAAATTCGCCAAAGGTACAGCAGTGATTGGTAAAATGTTGCTTATTGTGTGCAAGAAAAAAACGTATGGTTAGGTGCACGAAAATTCAGGAAACCTTTTCTCAAATCTCTTTGATCTGCGATGTCTACGATGTTGTGCACAGCACATTCTGAGAACTTAAAATACACTTCTCCTTGTTTTCAGCACATTCAGAACAATGTGAGTCTTGATGCTAGAAGAACATCAGTATACATCTGTGCAGAAAGTAGACTGTGAGGTAACTCCTGTTTCTTGTCGCACAGGGAAATTGATATCACAAAAGAACGAATTCAGAAAATCCTGGCGGCGGGGGCTAATGTGATCCTCACCACAGGGGGGATTGATGACATCTGTCTCAAGTACTTTGTGGAAGCGGGTGCCATGGCAGTAAGAAGAGTTCTGAAGCAAGACCTGAGGAGAATTGCAAAGGCCACTGGCGGTACTTTAAACAATTTCTCCCTCTTAACCTTTTTCACATCTTAACTTATTGATTTGAAAAGTGTGCTTTTCTCTTTATGTAGAAATAGGGTCATTCCATATGAATTCAATTACCTGTTGATTTCGCCTTTTTGAGTTTTGGGCCGCAGTTACAAAGCTCTTTGTACTCCTTGAAGATGTGCCTAATTATCGGTAAGTAAGACAGCAGCCTTGGTGCCAAGTTAGGAACAATCAGATTATTTTTGCTTCAGTATTTAAATTCAGCAGTAGAGCATTCTCGTTTAAAAATAAAAGGTATCTGCTAAAGTAATCTGCCCAGACCTCATCACTCACAGTCTGACTGTTGTTCAGCATAAGTACTGAGTTTTTAGCTTGTATTTTCCGTGGTTGCCTCCAGCCTCTGTGTGCCCTACTCTGGTGAACCTGGAAGGAGAGGAAACCTTTGATTCCTCCCTGCTGGGTCAGGCAGAAGAAGTGATACAAGAGTGGATCTGTGATGATGAGCTCATTCTCATCAAGAAGTAAGTCTAGATAACACAGACACTAAAATATTTGTACAGTTGTGTATGCCAGGTACTGGTGACTGGGTTGGAAGTGCGTGTTGATCCAAAGTAACATGATGTTTAAAACTCAAATGACGTTTGAAATAATTTACTTACCTTAGTCCTTCCAGAAACTTCAGGAAAACTGGGGTCTAAATTGTCATGTAAAAATGAAATGAGGTCATAAATCATAAAACAACATTATTTTTGTAACTTTAATACAAATTCTAAATTAGTATGACAAATCTGCTTAAAAGGTATAAAACTATCGATATCACACTTCTGTATTTACCAGTGATGGGGAAATGGTGGGTATCATGGGAAGAATGAGAAGGATGGTTGGCCATTCAGGTCCATAATGCATGGAGAACAAAAGCAGCCATTTTGTGATTGACTTATTATGAAGGATCCCAGTAGCAATTAAGGACACTTAGGTTTAGAAATTTCCCTATTCCTCTGTGATGAAAGTTAATTGCATTTCTAATTCCAGTACAAAAGCTCGGACAGCTGCCTCCTTGATTCTAAGGGGAGCCAATGACTTCATGTGTGACGAGATGGAGCGCTCCGTTCACGATGCCCTGTGTGTGGTGAAGAGAGTCCTAGAGTCCAAATCATTGGTGGCAGGAGGGGGTGCCGTGGAAACGGCACTCAGCATCTACCTGGAAAACTTCGCAACCACTATGGTCTTTATTTGTTTTATAGAGATTGGTTACTGTTAACACAGAATACACACTGATTATGAATTCCATAAGTTAAAATAGTGGCAAGATCACAAAATGACACCAAGTTCCGTTGACATTTCTGTAAACAGTATTGCCTATTCTGTGATGTAGTCATGTCCAGCTTTTACAGGAACATACAGTTTTATTTTTAAATGGATAATTGAATGCAGATATCTTTTTTTTATCGTGAAGGGCTCCAGGGAGCAGCTGGCTATAGCAGAGTTTGCCCACTCAATGCTCATCATTCCAAAGGTCCTGGCGGTGAATGCAGCCCAGGACTCCATTGACCTAGTGGCCAAGCTCAGAGCCTTCCACAACCAGGCCCAGATCAATCCTGATCGCAAGCATTTCAAATGGTAGGTGTTTCTTGACAATTTGTTTTTTCAATACCAGACATCATAAAAGTTCTACTCTTTACAAATGACAGATCCAGCATTGATGTATTATACTCTTGTGTTTGTGATTTATATTGTATTATCTACACTAACTTTTTTCCTATCATATTATTTTTTTAAATACTTAATTATTGAAATGGGTGGCTCCAAACCAGAAATGAATCTTGTATTTTTTTTGCAGGATTGGTCTAGACCTTGTTAATGGCAAACCAAGAGACAACAAGCAAGCAGGTGTCTTTGAGCCCACAGTGGTGAAAACCAAAAGCATCAAATTCGCTACTGAAGCTTCTATCACCATACTACGTATAGATGACCTCATCAAGATCGTTCCAGATGAGAAGGAAGGAGCTAGTAAGTCATACCAAGATGCCATAGAGTCTGGGGAACTGGAAGGTTAATCAAAGCACAAAGCATATGGCTACCTGAATTAATTGCTGAACATTGGCATTCTTTATATTTTTTAAGTGTACTACTTTACCGTAATGCTAAGGATATTATAACAGACTGGTGTTTAAAGCTTATTATTTGCTAACGTGGTGGGGAATCAACAGATCTTTGCATTTTTTCTGAGCAGTCACCTTCTTCAAGTGTTATCTCAAACACAATAATTTATCCTGTTCAAATAATGTATGACTGCTGCACAAAACTAGCTGTTGTGAATTTACTTATATTTAAAGGATTCATTGTGTTACTTAAAATGAATATAGGGTGTAAAAGTTGGCTTTGTAAAAAGATTGTATTAAATGTAATTACTTAATGTTTGTTGTATGAAAAAGTTCCCCAAACTAAAACAGAGATTCTGACTTAAATTAAATTATACATACAACAAACTGCAGTATGTCACACTGTGAATTCAATAAAATGTATTTTCAATAGCGCACGTTTGTTTTCAGTTGTTTTATTATTAATAGTTTCTAGGCCTGATTTTTCATGTGTTCCAGATATTAAAAATCTAATTTTGGTGTTAAATTAGATGGCTATGGGCAGCTGCAAGATTAATTTTGTGCAGCTGCAGCTGAAAACATTGTAGATCTTAATTTTTCCATTGTGTACTTTTCATTGACATAAACATAAATGTCTTTAAATGTGATTCTAAATTGGAATGTCAGGTTAATCTCAATGTTATGAAGAAGAAAAGAGAATAGAGAGAAATCTATTCAGCCCATCTATTTGGATCGCTAGTAGATCAATTGTTAAATGTAGCCCAGTCACCTTTATGAACTCCCCAGAAGGTCAGCTTTAATAAGTTGGCTAAACTGTCTTAAATTAGACACTCAAAAGTTGTTGTGTAAAGGAATTGTTTTAATTTGTAAGCAAGACGCTGCCCCCCAAATTTGCATTGTTGATCTCAAACTAGTCGGGCCAAGTTAATATTTGAATCAAATTCTTTCAGGCCTTATCGTTTGATAAAGATATTTTAATAGATTGTGATTCTTTTCTGCATTGCATTTGTTAGGTCACCTTCTTTAAAAAATAAACCTGATTCCCCCCTTTCAACCCTGAAGTGTAGTTATTGATTAAATGCAAAGACAATAATGTAGTTGCTATTGATGTAGGGAAAAATCAGATCAAAGCCATCACATCTATCAGTTTAAGTACAGTGTTTGGAAATAATTGTGTAACTGATGGGTTTGTTTCAAATAAACCAAACTTGTAACGTGAAAAACAACAATAAAGTGCAAGAAATCCTTTTCCTAGTTTGAGTCTTTTATACTACACCACACCACTCACTTTTTATTAAATCAACCAAATGTTATGTTGAGCTTAACTAATATAAAGTCAGAAGCCCATAATAGGACTTACATAAAACATGACGGTTAGAATGTTGTTGGCACAAAAGGATTTATTGAAGGAAGTTTGGCCCAAACCATATTAAATCAATTCACAAGAGTAACATTCTTTAAAAAAAGAAAAAAATCACTACAAAATGAGTTTTTGAATATAAATTGAAACATTATGTACAGTTATATAAAATAAAAACATGGTGCAGGAACAGCTTAGAAACCTGGCAAATACCAAGCTAATATTTATGCGGTTTATGATTTGTACAACAATTAGAAGAATAATGTCTTTGTAATACTTGTATTGTAATAAGTATTTGTATATTTAAATATGGCGATTAGTTGTTGGATCCTTAACCACCCAAAGTAATTGGCACTTGTTAGAGTGATGCTTCATTAATGATATGTCCTGGTGTGTGAAGTTCTTGTTAAATGTAACTTTCAAAATCAGTTGTCATGTGCCTGTATTCATAAAAAAGAAGTTACATTTTTTATTGAAAAGTTCTTAGAGCTGTAAAATTACCAGTAGCAGACCAATCTATTTTCATTAAAGATAGAAGTAAGGCAAAATAACTAAGCCTGTCTAATCACAAAGCACATCTAAATAACCTCATAAAAGAGATACAAGCAAAATTCATATGAACTAATACATTTGGAAGTTTAAAACCTCAGCACTAATAAGGAATCCATTTGGGCTATATTGATCACATAAAAAAGGATGTAACATAACCAAGTGTTTGAATTCAATATATTAATAATGAAGGCATTATATTCTGTCACTAGTTTAATGAAAACAGCTGATATCATATTTTGTCTACTTGTACTACTGTGTATACTTATCTTTCTATTACGTCCTAATTCCATGTAATGGGGGGGACAAATGTCAGACATTTCCATAAATTTCTATAAAAAGAATACTGTTTGCAAATGCTGATTGTGGGTCAAACTAAAATATTAGAACATCTTCAAAAAAATGAATGCAATCTGTACCTGCTCTAGAATATATAGCTGTAAAAAGGAACTTCAAAATGAGCACCCTAAACATTAATTTTCTTTCTTTGGATTTTTAAAATGCTTCCCTTTCTTTTAAAGAGATGAACGTGTCTAGCTGAAACAAAGGAAAATAACAGAGATAAAAGGTCATATACAACACAAAGGAAACAGGGAAATGAAGGAAAGTTTTACTTTAACTGTATTTCATGGGACTGCTTCATGGTCACGTATTATAAATGAAGTTAACCACCATTAAATGAAATGTCCTTGACTCAAAGCATGGCAACCTTGGTTGCCTAGGATATCCACAGAGGAATTTGCACTGTATACATTATAAGCCAGGATCACAGTGACATGTGACAGATGTCAGTGATTCAAGCATCTAAGTCAGGAAAATATATTTAGTATTTCATACAGAAGGCATTATCTCTTTTACACACGGCTTAATTTCCCTATTGGATACATTTTGAATCCTTCATCCTTGACACTAAACATTAACTTCAATAAAACACTTACACTGCTTACTGTATGTGCTATATACCAGACTAATTAACATTTAGGTATCCTTACAAAAAATGTTTTGGCATACAGCCAATTACATTAGTAATTTATAGAAGCAATCTGTAATTTTTAAGTTTCTGTTACATGTTATATACTATATATATATTAGGCCCAACAGTTTTTACATGAGCCTGGATTTTTTCCCACTAATACTGAAGGCAAATTAATGTTTACTTAGAGACTCTGTGTAAGCTACAGAATGTATTTATTAATGCACAATGTTAGCACCATAAAAAGCTTTTTCACTAAAATTGATTTGAAAACAAATGTTGTGCTTACACCACTTTTAAATATATATAAAAATACAAAAGAAAAACAAACAAACGGGAGGTTTCTCATCAGGTTACCACGTGGATGCTGAGGTTAGGAAATGTATGAAACTGTGTAACTTTCTTCATTCATCTTGCTTCCTCTTGGGCTTCTTGGGATTGCGCGAGCGGCTCTTGGCTTTGCACAGAGGACAGATCGGGGCATTCCGGTGAATTTGCTGATGGCAAGACAGGCACGCCTAAAAAAAATTAGAAATCAAATATTTTTAGATTGTAGTGCTATTGAACCCTTAGCTTAAAAGCTTGTGGAAATGGTCAGTTATAATATTGAGCTGTACCTTACCATGCATTTATAGCATGATGATCATCTATCATCCTTTTTTATTTATGAATTATGTAATATCTCGTACATTTTAGCAAATGTATATTCTTTTTTAAACAACACAAAATGCAAAAAAAAAAAAAAAAATCATACAAAATAGGAGGAAAAGGGATGCTAATTAAGTTCTGGAGATGAAACATCTGACCATGTGTACTTTTAATTTCATTAATAAAACAAGAACCAATGAAAAACAATACATACAAAAATATGTAGCCAAGATTTTACTAAAACTATGGTTATAATATACTTGATTCCATTGTAGAATGCATTTTCAGCTTGTTACCTTAATGGTAGATTATTCTGGATTCTCTCTGGCTTTGTAATAACTTCAACATTATGATTACTTTCTAATTGAGAGTATGATCTAAAGGTTTATTTTATTATACAGTCTCTGTACCTGTAACTTTACTGAGATCCCCCTTTATAATACCAAAGCCCTGATCAGATGTGAAAGGCAATAACCAATGTTTTGGTACTAACTATTTGGGGGTCCGATGCCTATCCAATCTCAAAACGTTCCTGAACAAAAGACAGTGTGGAATATTATTTTTATCAATTTCGTATAATATTTATCATGAGATCTCATTACTTTGCTTGTGTCCAAGCGATTAGATTGATTTACATTTTTCACATTAATGACGATTATCAATCTGAGAGGTACAGTACTTTAACATCCAGTTCATATTTTCTTACTTTGCATAGCAGACAGCATCAAAAGAATACTTCCACATTTCTCTCATTTTATTGATGATTGATGCATTTTCTGCAAAAACACTTAGGTTTTAGGCAGCAGTTTTTTGCTATTTTGCTTTAAAACTAACAATAAAATGTCATCATCAGAATTTCTTAATGAAGCCAGTAGGCTATAAATCCTCTCACTTTTTTTATTTTTACCGTATCTTTGTAATGTTTTAAGTAATTGAATCAAGGTTGTTATAAACCATAACAAGACAACATATTAAGTTAATCTTTCTATAGAAAAACCACCTAGTAGCTACAGCCCCCAATGAACAACCTATGTCGTAGTTCAGCTTCAACTCATAAAGCTCCCAGTGAAAGACTGGAATTAATCAAGTCTTGCCAGCTAGATGTCTAATTAAACCTGAGCACTTGCCAAGAAATGCCTATTTAACTGTAAAAACACAATTCAGCATTTCAGCCCCAAAATGGAAATCTTACAGGAATAAGCTGACTATACCTTAATCAGAAGCCATAATTATTATTTGCATGAAGTGGTTATAACTGTCTTAAAAACACTACAGGCCTACACTATACATGTAATGTTTTTAGTTTGTTCAAGATAAGCGTATAATACTTTTATATCAGTTAATGTGCCAAATTCCCTAACTGCACTAAGTTGAATGTTATTCTTTTTGGAAAGTCAATGATTTAATATGTCTAGAATTTCAGCAGTAAGGACCTCTTCTGAACAGATTATTAGGCAGGAACAGGAAAGACCTTCATTGGTGGTGGCTGCTGTCGGAAGGTAGCAGTCTGTCGAGCATCTTGTTTCCGGGCAACCTGCAGTTGCTGGGCAGCGGCAGCAGCTGCGGCCAGTGACTCAGGAATCGGGGGCTCCTGTGGTTCTGTCTGCCACTCAGCTTTCTGTTTCTCGAAGTAGCTGCATCAACCAAGAAACCGGGAAACATGGCTGGTGAACATGTGGATTGTATCTTAAGCAAACCAAGGAGAATCATTTCTGTTTTAACTTAACATGCATCTGGCCGGCTTTTATTGTCTAAACAGTGGGGGACCTGAACACTACCGCCAAAAAACCCATAAACCTGGTGGAACACGCATGTGTATTGTCTGGTTGCATGAGCACCATAAATTTACACCAGAAGGAATGAATAGCAGCTTAAGGTAATTTAAAATAATTGTCCAACAAATATGTCTATTCTCAAACCCCTTCTTTTTTCTCTTGTTCACCACTAAAGAACATTGACAACTTTGTGTGATAACATCATATTTGATGCAGTTCTAATTTAGTAATATTAGATATCTTTATGATTTTATTTGTCCAAAAAAATGCAAGAGGTAGGAGTGTAGGGGAAAACACCCACTAGCTTTTTTATGATTAATAATTTGACTGAAATTCCGGTTGTGATTCAGACATCTTATTTGAGTCTACTTATCCTTGCTGCTGCCCACAAAAATCGATTGTCCGTTGTCAGCTTTGACAAATGTTTCTATGCGTGTGCTGAAATGAAGATTAATGGCTGGTTTGTGCAACTAGAGCTGGCAGGCCAGACTAATGAATGCTGTGTCAGACTCACTCAAGTGAGAGCTTCTCTTCCTCCTCACACAGGTCTGGCAGCCTTTGCAGACCTAGTGTCATCCTCAGTGCGTCTACGTGCTCTTTCAAAGGCTTGTACTCTTCGTGGAGACGCCTCGTTGATTCCAGCAGCTTGTTCAAGTCATTTTCAGACTGCTTGATTGTGTTTTCCATCTAGATTAGAACAGAGGGGATTTTAAAAAAAATAAGAAAAGCAAGTTTAATGACTGAGATTTTTAAAGACTTAAAAGTATTAAGATAAAAAAGTGTCCCATTTGGGAAAGCTTTCCATACCACACAATCCCTTTGATTTGGTTGACGATTCAAGCTTCAAGCTTCACTGTAAATCCAGTATTACTGAAACTGAGTCACCAATGACTAACATCAAAATAGCTTCAGAAAATGTTTTTAACTTGACATGAAATACATTCAATTTTATTGTGATATGAGAAAATCCAGACACTCTGTTTAAACATTCAGAAAGCTCCTAAAGCCCACTACTGATTGTCCTTTTGAAGTATCAAAGTCAACAGGCCATTATCTATAGCCTGTTAACTGTGCTAATATTGTAAGAACACATTGAACAAACTTGGTTTGCTTTCAAGGTCACCCTCAATTTCAGGGAATGCTAGATCCTATTTTAATACTTCCTTGAGTGATGTCATCATTAGTTAGGATGACGAAGACTTGAGCAGGTATAAGTGCTCTCCTGGCCCTTTGTCTATCACAAAAGCAACGAGCCCAAGAAAGAAAGATAATATCACCATAAGCACTTGCTAAAAGGCCTAATTCAGATTCTGCTGTTCTCTGATCTCTGCAGCTCTGATTTCAATAATGGATGTTCACCCCTCTAGGCTGCAGAATACATGTCCTTTGGGCACATACACCATTGCTTGTCTGCCTTTATTACACACCACATTGATGTCGGCATGGATTAGTCGTAGCTCCTCCACATGAGCCATCTTCTCTTGCAGTAACAAGTCCATCTCTTGCTTGTATTCCTTCAGGTGCTTCTCCTCTGACTCCAGGGCTTCGAACTCTGTCTTCAGACGGGACTTAATCTTTTCCATCTGGATGGTTTTATTCCTGGAAGAGCAGATCATGTAATAGATCACTATGTTCTCTAACAATACACATTTTGCCATAAACCAATTTATTTTCTCGAGTAAATGGCTAAAATAAAAATAGCAAAAATAAAAAAACAAAAACATTCCATTTAATTTGTGACCCCCCCACTATCTGCTTATTTCTGTTATCTATCCTCTAGGAGTGTCAAACTCAATTGCTATGACAGTTCAGATTTGATTTGAATGTATTTCAAAGGGGCCATACCATAAATCATCAAAATAATACACACTATTGTTATATTTTTGTAGTATTTTGTGTTTGGGGTGCTTATTTTATAAATAAAAATACATGCCTCTAAAAATCAATTAGCAATCATTGTGTCTTCACTAGATGCCAATTGTACAAAACCTATTTCCCACTAAGTATGTGATGTGTTTTAGCATATTTTGAATAATAACAGTATTATAGATACAGTGCCTTGCGAAAGTATT